CGGTAGATACGTTACACTTTATAAGAATCTTGCGTCGTAGGAATCCTTAAATACATGTGCCAATCACAGTCCGACACGTGTGCAGTTTACGGACTACGGCTGTTTGAAAGGTTTTCTTCCATAAAATTAATCGATTCTAGATTAATTCGACTCAACATTTCCAAAACACGTATAATTTTTTTAGAATAATCCGTATAAACTATGCTATAAACAAATTGTAGGTTTACTTACCGAGTGTGCACTGTTCGACGACGCCATTGCTTAAGCTTGTTTCGTCGTGGAGCGGCGCACCAAACGGCGGGCGCGTTTTCTGATAAGTTATTTTTCTGCGAAAAATTCGCTGAACTTTGGAGACATCATTAATAGAAATAATGTTTATGGCCGTTGAATAAGCAATGTTTTTTTCACAAGAAATGTATAAAATTACAGTACTGTATTAGACTTACAGTACCTAATTTATATACTGTACAGACGATAGTAAACTCGACTTACCCGCCTAAACTCTCCATAGTGTGTAAGTAGTTCGGCTGCTCGTCCACTATTGGTCCGGATTCGACCAATTTTGTCGCGAGACGAGTCGGCGATGGCGTTTTACCGCATTTTACGAGTCTCTTTTAACGTCTTTATACGAATACGGTCGCAATTTTTTCGCCGCGACATACGAATCCGCATTATATGAACCCGCGTTATGGGGGGTCAACTGTACATTTATGTTTTAGCATTTACAATTATTTTAGCACAGTTTCATCCTCTTCTAAGCTGGGGCTTCTAATTCTGACATTTTCTTTTTATATATTTTTTGTTTCGAAGACAGTTCTTTTCTGAGAATTGCGTTTTTGTTACCTGGCACTGAATGGACTGAAACAAAAGAAGACTTGTCTATAACATCAAGAGCTGAAAGTTGTGGACCCAAAGATTTTAGGACTTTATCTACTACTTTTATTAGGTCTCAGACATCGATTTCGGACCCGTTTCGAGATTCTTAACAGTAACAATTCTTGTAACATTATCTGGCAACCTTGAAAGTGTTGAACTTGATGGTATGTTTAATTTGTCTACAAGCGATGATGACTTTCTTTTATCTTCCAAAATTAATCTTTGTTCATTTTCGTCTGTACTAGATGAATTTAATACAGTAATTACATTAGAATTCTATGTCGATGTGTTGGTCATTTTTTTTATTTTCTCTTGGAAATAGTTGCAATGTTTTAGTAGATTGCAAAAAAACTTTCCACGAAGAAAGGGAAAATAACTGCTTTTTAATATGCAGATATAAAGTTAGGATTAATAGTTCATTCAAGAAGACTGGGTGCAGTGAATTGCATGCGAGGGTTCGGCACATATCAAATGTGCCGATCGAGAAAATATTTCGTATTTTATTTGTGACAATTGTAAGCAATAAGGTTCATTGTAAACTTTCGAAGATTTGTTCTTATGTTTTCCTAGTATAGTACTCACTTTTTAGAAAAAATGTTATCATTATTTGTTATAGTACTATAGTACGCAATTCTACTATTGTGAAAAAATTTTGTACTTTTATTTGCTTGAATAAGAATCACTAAAACAATTTATATTATCATTACAAGGGTGGATCAAATATAAACGGTAATTTTCTTTTAGAAATTTATTGATTAATAATATACACAAGTGAAAACTTTAGTTCTTCTCTACATATCCTCCCGCAAGCTGTACACACTTTTGCCAACGATTTTTTAATTTTTGCAAATTGCATTAGGTGCGTATCTAGTACTTCATATCCTACAGTAACAATACGACCGGAGATAAAAGCTAGATTTGTCACACCACACCATAACACTTCCCGCACTTGCTGCCATCTCGAGTAAATTTTTCTCATAATAATGCCACGATTCACTTATCATACAGCAATTTTTATCAACTCGCTAAATTTTCTTAATTTTGCCTAACCAATATGGCCGTAATTAATTTTAATCACCGGGTTCAAGTAATAGTTCCATAGTGCTCCGACGCACATCCCGTATTAAATGCTGCCGGCGCCACTGCAAGAAATTATTTTTTACATCGAAAATTATCTTTGAACAGAAACTGCTTTGTAAAAAACGATGGTACAGACGACATCAAAATAAAGACAGAATATAAACACTGGATGAATGCAGATAAAACATTAAAATAATGGATCTGTTTCTTGATCTGAATCGTTTAAAGGCATTATACATTGTAAATTCTGATACCAATCTAAGAAACGTGGAAAGAATTGATAAAAGAATCTTTACCAATACGGATAATTAGCTCGGGTGTTGTTTGTAGGTAACGAATCTATAATAGAAAATAACGAGGCGATCAAATATACGTAGTAACCGACTTAATTTTATCCAAGTTACAGACATATTTATTCACGTAAATTAATATAAGTGACAAAATTTATAGCAATACGTGTTTATTTGTCGCCAAACAAGTCTTGTTGATTGTAACTGCTGTTATACAAATAGAAAGGTATAAAAGAACTGTTATTAAAAATACGCATAAATTCGAGATTGGCTTAGATATATTTGCTTTTACGAATAAAGCATTTGCTAACTTTGCTAAATTCAGAATTGTCTTCCCTTCCAATTTCTTTGACACGTGCCGAACATTTTGAACAAAAATAACGTTAAATAGTTACGATGTCGATCAAAGTCAAAACAATGACACTTCTACGGATTATTTTATAGTTATAAAAAGTCATAAAAAATATACGCGTAACGCTTTCTGGTCAACATTTAAATAAGTATTTACTTTCAATTTTAATGTTTTTTACTATTGCGCTGGTAAGCAAAGAACTTATTACTTTTCTCTGAATGGAGAATTCGATACCTTCTATTTGTTATTGAATTTTTATACGAATTTGTTTTAATAACAATTAAGTTATGCCCGATTCATTTTACATATATAAATAATTGCTTCGTTGCCAGCAATTTATTTTACTGTCACACGCGTGCGTCCGTCACTTAATGTCCCTTCATTTCTGCTAAAAATTTAGTTTTAGACTAATAATTTCGATTTACTAATTACTAACGTTTCAAACTGTATCTAGGATATTTCTTTGTAATTACAATTTACTACAGTTCGAAGAATTCGGAGGAATTTTACCAATCTTACCTGGAAATTATCATACCACAAAGGGATTGTAAAGTTATCAATAATTCAATAAAATACTAGGAACGAGACGAAGAAATGATCTTAATTGAGGTAAAATATGGCGTTGTAAATGTTACTTTAAAATTCGTGTATTCCGAATGGAAAGGGCACGCGGAGTATACAATTTCCATACATAAAGTTAATTGTATCGAAGATGCATTTGTTGCCATTTAGACTGACATTGGATCAGAAGGAGAGTCATTCGCCCTAGAAGACTTCTATATAATTTTTAGTGGAATGTAGAAGGAGAGGTTTAAGGAGGATACTTCTGACACCGACCACCAAGGTCACTTCTGTAATGTATAAATAGTGAGGATGATCAAACCGTACTTTATTATACGAAAGATGACCATCCCGGCGCTTATCTTATGCATTATCGCTAATCGAGTCACGAGCCAGTGTAAGTGGTTCGATAACGTACTTTAATCATATTCTTAAGTTACGGTGTCGAAAATTTCGCGTAATTGCTTACGACTGTCCTTAACTGTAGGAAAATTCATTATCGTAATGTTCGCTAATACTAATAAAATACTTAATGTCTAGTAGAAGGTAGCGAATATTTCAATTTTCAAATTTTTGCAGATTGTGGTCAAAACATGGAATTTCGCAACAGAATCGTCGGAGGCGGACACGCTGTTTATGGCGAAGTACCTTGGCAAGTAAGTGGTCTATTGTCGCTCGTATTTCTTTTTTAAAGTTCAGTCCAATAGTTTTGGAATAGGAAAAGTACAACTCTTGGCAACGAAGTTTAGATTCAAATTTTACAATTAACAGTTTCTGTTATTCGACGACTTCGTTCACTACGGACAACTGGAAACAGTTCGTAACCATCTATGGTACGAACTATCATTGTGATTAGAGAGAATTGTCGCGTATTTTTATAATTATCGTAAAGGTTAAGTTGCTTTTATATGGATGAAACTTATGTGGAAAATGGCATTTTAAGGAACTTTTAAAAATTTCAATATAATTACATTTATAATAATATTAAAGCGTATTAATTCTGAAATCGTGTTGGAAATGACTTTTTTTGGGCCTCCAGCGTACAAAATAAAAAGACTAATTAAAACGAACCGACGGTAAATTTTGTCACAAGTTAAAAATTTTTGTCTCTGGCGGTTAGGGTATCGATCTTCTGCTCCTGAGAACGGGTTTGGGAATATTTTCGGGAGTATCCTATCCGGATACATCTGCGGATGAGGCCAGACTGACGTCACCAAGAAAAATAATCTTTTGTCCCTGGGTCGAAGATAAAATTGTAAACATCGTCTTTAAGCGCGAATAAACTCCGCACGTTTTATAACTGGCAACAAAAAAAGCATTTGTCTCAATAAAATCTAAAGCACAGTGGTGTTTACAGAAAATATTCTTTGTTAAAGTTTAGATACGTGAATTGCTGCCAGTTATCCTTCTAGCATTTTACGAAGCTGAAGTAAAATAAAAATAATTACCGTCTCGGGTTTACAGTTTATAAATGCGTAAACATTAATCGTTTCCGTTATAAAAAAAAATAATTAAAATTAGGTGTCCCTGCGTTTGAATCACCCAATTCGCGGTGTCGTCGATCACTTTTGTGGAGCCGTCCTCATTAACAGAAGATGGATCTTGACTGCGGCCCATTGTTTCGTCAGGTAGGAAACATTTCTCCGGTCTTTACACTACTCTACGGGGACTATATCGTGCGCTGTTTTTTCAGTTCGAAAACAAATCTCCTGAGACCCGCTTATTGGAAGGCGAGATTGGGCGAGCACAAGTTGAAAGATAGGGATCGATACCAAAAAATTTACGAAATAGAAAAAATATTTTATCATCGACGTTTCAGCGGTTACAGTTACGATATAGGGATGATGAAATTTAAAAAGGCCGTTGTCTTTAACGACTACATAAGACCCGTTTGCCTTCCCACCACCGGCATGAATTTTGTAGGAGAATATTGTAAAGCATCCGGCTGGGGAAGAGTGGAATCAAGTAAGTGTTCATCTCCGCTATCTTGTCTATTTTTCTAATCGTTTAATAATAACGTTTCTTGCAGATGCCAAACTGGCTAACACGCTACAAGTAGTTCATATTAAAGTACTTAGGTGGACGATATGCCGCAGCGCTTACTCGTCCAGGTACAGAATTTCAGTTTCAAATAAGCACGTCTGCGCGGGAACTTTACAAGGAGGTAAAGGAACGTGCAAGGTTAGTGAAGGTTAATTCAATAGTCTAGAATTAAGAGCGATTCGATTGACATTTCTTTTTTATTAGGGAGATTCGGGCGGTCCCCTCACCTGCGTGAAAAATCACAGGCATTACTTGATCGGATTGACGTCTTTCGGCTCCAACTGCGCCAAACCCAACTTTCCAGACGTCTATACAAACGTTGCTGCTTACCTGAACTGGATTCGAAGTATAATGTCTAGAAATCCGTAAATTTTTTACGTATTTTTTATGATTTTACTTTAATGTTATTTAATTTTGCTATAAAAAGGTTTTTTCTAAGTTATATGGAATTCGGTTAATATAGACCAGTGTTTGTCAACGGGGGCGATATCGCCCGTGTGGGCGTTTTTCCATGTTGAGGGGGCAATACTACGTAACGGTTTTATTGAAGGCGGGCGACGATTCATTAGAGGTTGAGAAATGCTGATGTAGACGAACGTCAGGCAATGGAATAAATTCCGTCTTCTCACAAAACGTGTTTTTAAATTTACACTCTTTAGACTAGAGTATGTCATGTCACGAGGTTCGAAAAACCTTAAGAAGTCCTCGCCGTAATTACGTCTTTTGGCAGATCTCGCATCACCGCAGGAAAATGTGCCCAACGTCGATAAAAATCTTCATCCGGAATACGTCCGCCGAAATTTCTTTTGCTAAGTTATCACGTCTCTGGAATATATCGCTACTTGAGTTATTTGCTGGGGGCAGAGCATTATTCGTTGGTAGATTTTCCAAGAATTTTGCAGGCCCAAAAAAATTTCTTGTTTTTGGTCCCGAAATCGAAACGAGTTTTATAAATCGATATTGTTCGAAAAGATGGTCTCAAGTCCGTGGCTAACAGATCGTGTCCCCCTAGCAAACTGTCGGCTGGTATTTCAAAAACATCTGAACGACTACTTATTACAATCAGCTTTCATTTAAGCTACATCCGCCAGATCCTAAAACGTAAAACGCCGGACGTTAGACTGGGCACTTCGACCAGGGATCAGATGAGTCACCTGATCGATTCTGGTCGACGATCGTAGCTTTCCGCGATATCATCGATGAGAGATGTTACCTGGGGCGCCCCTACATTAAACACTTGGGGCACGTACCCCTGATTTTTTTCTCAGTTGTTTTTTAACTAATCCGCAAGGGATCCCAAACAACAAAGAAAGAATTCGTGACTTCTAGCCTATTCTGCAAATATGTTTGTTAAGTTACGGCAACGAAACACTTGGGCGATCTGCCTAGGGAGAATGCCTTCCGGGTCTTTATGAGGGTAACTGGCTCCTATTCGGGCGTCACAGACGTGGAGTTTTCCGGGTTTTCTCCACGTCTGTAACTCTGGAGAAAACTCCTGTCCTGGCTAGGCGCCAACCAATGACCGAACTCCCAATGTTTAGGGAATGGAACCACTTGGCTACTGGTGGGCCCTTCTGCAAATATAAAAAAATCTAATAAACGATATTTGTCCATTGACCCATGCTGACCAAAACCCCATTCCTTGCTTTCCAGGTCAAGTTAGCCCCGAGTGTAACCAGTACCGCCCGCTGGGGGCGCCGATTCCACTTCGAATTATAGTTTGAAGCTCCTTGCGTAATGTACTGTACAATGTTCAATTTTATAGCTTGTGTCCCCTTTTTCATACTCTCGGATGCCGCTGAATGTTAGGAATAACCAATGATAACTTTACCTATCCATATATTCTTGCTTACAAAATAACGACTTACGCCAACAAACAGCTAAATACTTCTCCCAGTGAAATTTGTTTGCTTTATTAAGTGCAAAAGAAAAAATACGAAGATTTATGTTCGAACCTTTAGAGGGGAAGTGAAAACAATTTAAGTGAAAAGTGCAAAGCATTGAATAAATGTAATTAAAGTAATTAATCGGTTGCCAAATACTAATACAGAATCAAGAGTAAACAACAAATCGCCGCAAAATTTCTCCATTTTTATAAAAATTTAAATAATTAGAGATAGAGAATTTTTTTTTATAACTTAGGTAATTAGCAAACCTCGTCACCTCGCTGTTATAAGTGATCCCCACGACCCCGCGTGGTACACATTAACTGTTCTAAGACAGAAAGCGGTGCCAGACTGGCAATAAATCGTCAACGGGACTGCTGTTTAAATTAGATATTAAAATTTTTACGCCAAAACTTTTATACGATTCGTCTTTGACTTGTAATTTGTGCAATGAATATTAGCTAGTTTTGAGTATAATTATGAAACAGTAAGTTACAAAAACGAGACAATTTTCAACAGTTCAAAAATTGGGCCACGTTTTTAGTTTTAAAAATTGTGACTGTCTCGCTTGATCCGGTCATTTTATTTAAATAATCCTCAGCAAATTTCAATTTACTCTTACTAGAGCAATGCACTTATGTCATAGCGACGGCCACTTTCTGATTTACTCAGACTACATCCGAACCCCTGCTTATCAAAGTTTGCTCTTCATTTGAAGAATCCTTAGAAAATTTGAGTAGTCTGGTTAGGCCTTGTCTTGTATCAGCTGGTTGGGCACGAGCTTCTAGGCTATCTCGCCCCGTGGTATAGTGTGGCGTAATTATCATGTAATAGTAGTTGTACGAGTTTATGATGGTCGTTACGCGGGAAATAATGCCTCCCGGGAGAACTTTTAAGGGTAACTGGCCCTTAAAAGTCCTCCCGGAAGGCATTATCGGATTCGGGCGTTGCAGACGTGGAGAAAGCCCGCTAAACTCCACGCGGCCAGCCCCTCCGGGCGAAGCGATCGAACTTCTAGTGTTCCTCGAAGCGTGTTCCCTTCGGTCCCAGGAAGTGATATTTGGCGCTTGTAATTGGTCTAAGTGTAGGTTATTTTGTATTTATTGAAGTACAGTATATGGTCAAAGTGTGTATTCATATGTCATAGGGTTTAATTTTAGGCATTCCCTGATTTTGTGCAGATGATTTCTTGTTAGGCTATTATTAGAGAGGATTTTTCCCGATGCTGGCGAATTTCCAACACTCGTCGAGGCGGTGTATAGTTGGTGTCTGTTTTGTTTAAGCAGTATCTACACTGGTCGGTGGTGCTGATTTTTCGGGTGTAAAGAAAGTGGTTCGTTAACGGTGAGTTGGCGCGATCGATGAGGACGTTGGCAAATTTCAGCGCATTGTTACTTTAGCGAAGTGCCGATGGCATATAACACTCACTTTTTGACTTAATTTTGATTCATTTTCTTCCATTATTACACCTAGAAACAAAAACTGTAGCAACGAGCTGAGTAACCCCCCGGCTTTTAAGAGATTTTATTTTAAAAATAACATTTGTATTATTAATCAAAATAAATAACAGATGGCGCCACACACAATTTAAGTTATGAGATTGAATTATAAAAAGTTTATATACTTTTAATTATTATAAAAGAGCAAAATACTTTATTTTGAAGATAGATAGCATTTACAGTGTTTTTATAAAACGCATGACAAGTAAAATTTTCGTTAAGTCCGACTTCTCGCCAGATATGACACGTGACCACCATCTATCTCTCCATCCCCTTGACCTTTTACAACCAAAATTTAATAGCAGCAATGACTCTTATATACAAGCTACCGTGCCAAATTTCGTGTCTTAATATCTCAGGTCGGGGTGAAGATCGAGACACGAAATTTGGCACGGTAGCTTGTATATAAGGGTCATTGGTGCTATTAAATTTTGGTTGTAAAAGGTCAAGGGGATGGAGAGATAGATGGTGGTCACGTGTCATATCTGGCGAGAAGTCGGACTTAACGAGGATTTCACTCGTCGTTAGCATTTGCAGTGTTTTATAAAACTCATCTCAAACCTAAAAATCAAGTCTTTTGCTATTTTATAATAATTTAAATTTTTAATTAAACTTTTTATAACGAAATCTTAACAGATGGCGCAACACGCAATACATTGGTTTGTTTCAGGAGTTACGAGTTATTAAAATACAATACAGTATAGTTGTACGAGATCGATTTTTACTCCCAGTTTATGGAAAAGATACGCTAGGCCGAAAAATGTGTGCGACGTAGGTAAATTCCAAAGTTATTTTAATTTACCAGGTTTGAAAAGTACGTCCGCTTCAAAGACGCGTAACAAATGGACAAATTTGACTATTTGGGCGCGTTTGGAGAAGAGTGGAGTGACATCCAAATTAAGACAGTTATATCAGGAACCACAATACACTCGGATGTAACATTCTGTAGATCTTAGGTTACCACTCTGATCTATCTTACTGCGGCGTTTGAAGAAAATTGAGAGAGTCCAGCGTAGAGATCTTGCGCAGATGGAATCAAACGACCCATCGAAAAAAATGTTTTAAGAGTTTTCGACGGCATTTGGTTACGGTCCCACAAGAAACATATTTATTTTTATAAGCCGCACACACTTAGCGTTTTAATAGTAAACCGTAGTCGCGTGCGCATTCCTTTATTTAGCCTAATCGAGTATTTCTGAAAAGAATAATGTCCGAAATTCGTTCTCGAATACCGAAACTTGTCCGAAAACATTCTTCAATTAAGTAATTCGAATTAACAAATACAATGGTCGGGTCATTTATGTATAAAAATAAAAAATAGAGGAAACGACAAACGTTTTCATATCGCGTCCTTTCCACACCCCGAGAACACAACGGTAAATCTACGTTTTATTAGAGGCTACTCGCGCCTTTATGCGTAGACAATAACCGGGTTAACGTCTTTCGCGTATTTCGGTGGACGAGGAATCCGTAATAAAAGGCGGAGTTGACCGAAAAATCGTCTGCGTTCCCGAGGTGTGCGAAAACGTTTGTCGTTTCCTGTATTTCTTTTATAAATCTTTTTATAAATAATTCATTTGTATATAGACGTTGGTTTCTAAAATTTCACACTGTTACGTGTCGCGTTTCACTTATTTGCTATCGATTAACTCTTACTTTATTTTTAAAAAAAAACTAACGATAACAGCACGATTATTTGGTTGTTAGAGCGAGAATATGTGGCGAGAAGCGATAAACATCAAAACCTGTCAGATATGTGCGAGAACCAGAAATTCGCTCTCGCCAGCGTTATTTCTCGCTTCTCGTTTGTGCATGGTTTTCCTTTGCGAAAACTAAATCGCTCGCAACCTCTCGCTCGCTCTAAATTCGCGTCTGCATAGTCGCACCCTTA